CCTTCCAATCTTTCCTTGTGGCAGCCTTCCCATAAGATCAAAACACATAAATGTAGGTTATGTTTAATTTCTAAATCAAAGTGTTGTGGACAGATGTTTGAAACCTTAAGATGACTCAGATTCATTTGTTGCATGGCTTTCTGCCTGGATAACCATAGTGTAGATTGTGCCGTTTCTGCTTTACTGATGTATTGCCGTGGTGATGACATATATAATTTTATCATAACCTTTCTGTTAATGGCCCGAACTGTGCCTCTGTAATGATCATGCAACCAAACCACATTGAATGTGAAGGACTAATTCTATCTTTAATGTCAGCTGATCTCAGTCAGATAACATGAGAGATGATCATTACTTTCACCCTTTTCTGTATTTCTTTCAACTTCATCCAGCTCAAGGTGACAGACCCAAAATGATCAGTGTCTTTATTGATTCACTAAGCCCAGCTGTTTCTTCACTGTCTTTGCACAAGGAGCATAGTCAGGGCTTTTACAGAAAACGTTTGAGTGACCATTTTATTTGAATATGTGGATTTTCACGGTTATGTTGCAGTTTTTTGCAGTTAATTTTTCATCAGAAAAGTAGCTGATGTCTTCTTAACCCAGTACATTTTAGATTTTTATTTGGAATCTGATTCAAAACTTTTGAGTAAACATAAAGGCTTGCATGAAAAGATTTCATATAACTTTGAAGTTACTTTTATTTATTAAGATAAGAGTGGCAAGAGAATGGGGACAGCATTTTTTGCTTGCTTCCTTACATCAGGCTAATAAAGATAAATTGGTTCGGTTCTTTAGTTTTTACCTAATTAATCCATGCAGAATGCAAGCTGCTTAATGGAACAGGAACATCTTTATGACAAGTTTGTTTCTTTTGTAAAGCAACCATGAAAATGCCAAACCCTAGCACTTTTTAACTTAGTTTTTTCTCTGGCTGCCTTCTTGTTTATAAATTAAATATTTTGACTCTCATGTTTTGATACTCTGCGTTGCCCCTGGTGTGACTGTTCAAAGAACTCTCTGTCTGGGGTGTTGCAGCAGAGCAGATTCAGACAGTTCTGCTCGGAGAAGGAAGTGGAGAGTTTTGGTTCCCATTTTGCACTTCTGGAACAGTTTAGGGAAGGAAGCACCTTTACACCTTTTATTGTTCGTGGTTGCTGACATCATATCCTTCCCTGACCGTTCTGTGCGTGTTTCCTGCCATTCTATCGAGATTCTTCTGTGTTGCAGAGAAGGGATAGTGGGTGTGCATGTGTGTGTGTGTGTGTGTGTGTGTGTGTGTGTGTGTGTGCGCGCGCTGGTGTATATGTCCGTGTGTGAATGTACGAAAGGGAGACAGCAGCGGTCAAGTGGTCTGCTGCATTTGTCCATTAGCTCTTTTCCCTTCTCAAGGCTCACATCAATCTTCTGTCAGCTACCACTGCCTCTGCCAAATCATATAGTGAACAGAAGCCCGCCAAAAATGAAGTTCCTCTTTTTGTAAGCAGTCTGATTTATAATTTTTTTTTTTTTTTGGTAATGTTTGGGTTTGCAAAAAGAAAAAATGCTGAAAACTGTAACACCATAGCGTGTAACTGTGTGTTTCTTTAAGTGCAGTTTGCTTGCATGTAACCATGTCATTAAGTTGGAAGGTTTCTTTTATGTGGAGAGTGACTTCAACAAAGCTTCTGGAGTCATTGTATGTTCCTTTTTAGATTCTCTTGGATAATGAAAGTCTGTAGTACTATGTGACTTTTGTAGTACCTTCAACTTTTCTAGCTAGTGTGATTTGTGTTAGGGAAATAGAATGTATCAGTTAACAGGAACTTTAAAGACTTAATACTGTAAACCTTAATCCTGCAGGAACTTTCAAAAAATTATTGGGAACACTGGTGAAGTCCTAAAGCAGCCATGGGTATTTGTTGGTTTCTAGAGTCCTTTACATTCTGTTTGACTCGGAAGTCACCAGCCTTTGAATGCCCTTGAATCAGATGTCTTGGTTACTCATCTGATTCGCTTGTAATCAGTCCAGCTATCTGCTTTATATATGTATTAATGAAATAAACAGAACAATAGTGAACACATAGTAAGAACAGCACATGAAGCAGTATGTGTTGATATATGTATATGCGTAAAAAAGACAGATACAGAGAATGCCACAGCGTTCCCAATTTGTTTCCAGTAGCTGTAAAAATAACAAATTGTTTTTAAAAAGGAAATAAATTCTCTAGAAAAACTGAAATTTTTTATTTCAAATTAGACGAGTAAGCAAAAAGCAATTGGGAGAGAAATGTTTCTCATCCATGCAAGAAAACTTAACCCACTGCCTGTTGAAGAAAATTTATGTTTCTTTGCAAACTGTACATTGGATAAATATGACCTAACACATTCTGTCTTCTCCTTCAGGTTCTCTCAGGTTGTATGACAAAATTTAGCAACCAAATCAGCCTGGCTCCCTTTCAATTTTATTTTCCTGAACATCTATTTTTTCCATTCAAAATAAAAGTAATGTAGTTAGTGGATTAGTACAGGTGATGAAGAACAAAGTTCTGCTCATCAGGTGTTACATAAATTACTGTAAAGTCATTTTGTGTGGATTATGGGAGTTTTAAGTGTTCTGACTTTATAAACCATCTATAAAAGCTTTTGTTGTTTGAAGACTGGTCTTGAATGTGGAACTGATGAGTGTGTGGGAAGGACTCGAGACTCAATATATTGCTCTTCCACTAAGATTTTTGTCCTTCCTGGTAGGTTTTTCTCGCTGCTCAGTGATTTTTCTGAACCCGCTCAGCATCAGCATCTTGATCTGTGGAGCAGCTCTCATCCTTGCTACCCTGTCGCCACTGCTCTAATCTCTCCACCCTGACCTTCCACCTTGGAGTGAATAGGAGCTTAGGCAGGGTTGTGCTGTAAGCCGATTGTGCCACTGGCTTCGGCTGAATGAAAGGGAAGGAAGTTGTTCCATATGCATTTGCTGTGGATTAGCGTATTGGCTTACTGCTACAGAGAAAGCCTGTTAGAGCCCTTTGGGTCTGCATGTGCATGGGAAACACCATTCTAACGTGCTCTTTGTATCGGAGGTAAGGCTATAGGAAAAACAGGAAAGAAACCCAGTCCAAGGAAATTTAAAACCGTTTCTAAAAATAGAGTGGGTTTGTTTGTCAACACCGAGTGTCAGATAAAACTGTCCCCTGGCTTTGTTTGGACAAAAAAAAAAAAAAAAAAAGTTTTATAAATACATTTAATCAATTTATTTCAAAGTTTTGGACTTCTGGTTTTTGTTGTAGATCTGATCAACCACCCTTGTGTCCTTTTAAGCAGTGAGAAGCCAAACTGTTTTCAAACAAGTAAAACGCAGCAAAAAAATGTTGCAGCCTTTACACTGTTTAAATTGGCGATATGAATTGTTCCATGTTCTGCACTGTGGTAATGATTTAGGCATATATAAATATGCCTAGCAAATAACATAAAAAGACATTCATGTGCAGAAAGGTAATACGTATTATACTTTAAAATCTGTTTTGTCCAGCAGATTAATTATATCGTAGTGGCTAGTTAGAAAACTCAGACTGACTGCTTATTTGTTAACCTGTTTTTTTTTTTTCTTAGAGCAATAAAACACTTGAGCAGCTTAAAGTTTAATGTATGCAAAGAAAATCAAGACAGAATTGAAGACAGAACGAGCGAGGTCTAGCTTTTCTACCTCAGTAGCTTTGAATCAGAGCCAAATAATGGATTAAATGGCCAGGACATCAGCTTAGTGTTACGTAACATATTGTGAGCATTTATCAGGTTGGCTGCGAGACTACAAGCTTAAAATAACTAAGGAAACACCAGCCTCTGTTTTAAAATTACTAAGTTTTTATTTCCAAGGCAATATTTTTAATACGCTATGGATCTAACACAAAAACTTTAAAAAATCATTTTAAATTAATCTTATTCAGATCTTTTTTTTCTCTTCTGTATTTAAAAGAACTCTGCTTCTCTCTTCAAAATATGTAAATATGAAAATATCATAAACTAAGGGTAAAAAGGGGAAAAAAATGCATCTTTTACTTGAGCACTAGACAACATAACTTCTGTATTTTCTTCTATTTCTATTGAGTCTTTTATTGCTCAAAGTGCTTCGCATGTGATAGAAATTGACTTTGTGATTCATGACATTTTGTGAAATATGGAATGCGTGCTGCATCATATATTTTCATATATTGCATCTCACTGTCCTTAGCTTTGGAACCAGTATTGTAAAGTTCAGAGAGGTAGTATCAGTGCATTAGTAAAACTGTGAAAATATTTTTCAAGACATTCTTAAATTATCAGCTGTCCCTATTACTCTGCTATTAACTTGTCTTTTGGTGCAAGAATTTTTATAAGGAGAGATATACGTGTTTGCTAGCTATAAATCATTCATCAGAACGTTTTAGAATTTACATGAAATGAGGGGAAATTCACTTGTGCTTTCTTCAGGTATCTCGGGTAATACTTGCACCAGTCTATATTCTTAAAGAATAAGGTTAAAAATTTTGGATTTAAAGTAGCTGACACCTCTCATATATCAAGTAACACTTTAATAAAGGTCCATCCTATTTGCATAATGAGGGACATTATCACCTCTGCTGTCAAAACACAAGATTGTTTTCCCTTCAGAAATGAATTAGCTGGCCTACTTAGCATACATAGGTACAGAAAGGTTCATTAACTCTCTGATTTAGGTAATTTTTCATATTAGAGCAGTGAGTGATATTTAAAACTAGAGATACCTAATTCCTTTAAAGTTTTGGCAATGTGCATTTCAGTGCTTTCCTTCATTTCCTGATACATTGGTGGGTTTGTTCATAAAAAGAAGCCTTTGAATTGTATTATTATTTCTCTATGTATTACTTTTTTTATAGATGCAGTAAATTTTTATTATAATTTACTTGTACATTATAATTATGATGAGGATGCTTGGTCAGCTCCATATAATAGCTTTCATCCAGCTATCAATTTTGTAATAACATTTGATTTCCTTTCTGTGTTTAGCAGGAACGGATGCAGGGGACTGTGAACTGAGTAGTGCAAGTGCTGAAGAAGGAGGTTTGTTTTGAGGAAACGGGAAAGAGGAAGAAAAGAGAAGGGAAAAATACCTAATTTTAAGGAAGAAGGAGAGAAAAAAAAACGGGGACTATGGGGAGAAAAAAGATTCAGATTACAAGGATTATGGATGAACGTAACAGACAGGTGAGTAGCAAAAATACCGTATTTGAACATATTGTGTTTCTAAGGTGACTTATTCTCAAAGGTGACTAAAAAGTTGATCACTTTGAATACATATACATATACCTACATATATGTGTACATATACACCATGTAGGGAAGACTATCAAAGAAAATGTACTTTTGGAAAGAACCAGAAATGTCATACGCAGTTTTTTCAAGTTTAGTAACATGCATATTTAGGAATTTATTACTTGAGGCCTTGATCTACACAGCCTGATGTGTATGCTCTACTTGGGGTCCCCTCTGCACTTGCTTTCATTTCAGTGTGCACCATACGTGGTTAAATGCATACAGAGCTTGTAACAGGACACAGGCTTTTAGAACTGTATTTTGTAAACTATTAGAATATGAGTTTATTTGCAGGAGGACTTCCATTTAAATACATAGATCCAAATTATTTATGCTTCTACACGTTTGCAGTGTTCTTATCTTTACCTCGTATAAAAATGACACTACTTCCTAAAAAATCCCTGGCTGAATTTGAAAAAGAATTTTAGTAGCCTAACACATTTTAAAACCCACATACAATAATATTGTCATGTAGTTATGAAACAGCATCTCTGTTGGTGATGCTGTGGCTAAATAGGTCCAGCAGGAATGCTTAATTAATTTTTACCACTGCTTTAGATAAAATGGCTGAGTAGCTGTCACATATTATCAACACTGTCTCTGCTAGTTAAAATATGATCATAAATTAGAGAAACTGCTTTCCTGTTTGCAGAAAAATAAAACTCAACAATTGGCATCTTAACATAAAATCAGTGAAAAGCTGCTTCTGTTTACATTTGATGTAAAAGGATGGATGTTTTGTTGAAACTGGAGATTCACAAGTGTGAGAAACTCTCCATAAAATTATTTAACACTATGATTAGTGTTCTTGATACATGTGGCTGCAATTTAGGAGTAATCTTCAGTAGCTGTTTTTTAAGAACTTGATACTGTGTTACTGCTAATATATTAATTCTATTCATTTGATCTGCAAATTTCTTCATATATTCAGATTGGTTTTTAGGAAGTTACGTTGTTAGTCTTCAAGGATTTTATAAAGCCATAAAAAATTCAGCCTAGGCATAACAACAAATAATAATCTTTAAATATGCTTTCCAAGAATTTTTAAATTTTGTAGAATTAGTAGTCACTTTTGTTCTCCATGGCAGAAAATCATGTATAAAAGCAAAATTATATATATGATGAATACATTTGTGTTTTTCCTAAAGGTTGCCTATTGCTATGGGCCAGGCCAAAAAGCAATAATTCTATCAATATAAAACCATCACCATATTTATTTTTAATTGGTTTAGAGCTTGGAATCGAAAATGCATTTGGAATACTGAACTGAATTTATCATTAAACATTAAGACACTGTTTGTCTGGAACTTTCCCATGCTACTATTGTTTCTCTTTGAAGTGAACCTGAATTATTTTGTAAATGATACTACGAAATTTTACCATTAGTAACATCAGTTCATACAATAGCTTCAGTGTCAACTTGCTTAAGTACAGGATTTACAGAGAACTTGCTACCCAGTTTTGTCAAAGAAGTATCTTTCAAGAGGCTGCATTTACTTCACAGAATTAAGACACCTAGTCTTTCAAGTCATTCACAGTAGACTTTCAAGACCTCTGTCACCAGCTTCCAGAACTAACAATTATGAATAAAACTACAGAATACTAACAACTGTAGTGTTAGTGCAGAAAGTGTTTATCTTGCTAGTATCTGATAATATCCATCACGTTGATTAGTCACTATGAGGCTGAAGGTATAGATTTACATTACCCTTGTCATAGTATAATTGGCTTGATTCAGCTTCTCACTTCCACTAATATATCGCAACATTATTTAGAAAGTGTTTCTTCTGGGTTTATTCTTTTTGCATTTAGTGCCTTGATTTAAAGCTCAGTGAAGCCAAAGAAAAGATTTCCATTGATTCCTTTGGACTGTGGGATCAGGCTTTTCAGTTGTAGCAATATGTATGTGATTAAACACAACTGGATTTTCATTAATAGCTGATTGATCTTTTAACCATTTGTATGAGATTTACTCTCTCACAAGCCTTACGGTTTCTTAAAATATAATGTATTCCATGAGATATTGCTGCTTCAGTGAATCTGCATTGGTTTGTTTATTTTTCTAACTTACACAATTCCAGTAATCTTAAAATAGTAATTGGTTTATATTCCTTCTTTTTTTTTCCCGATGGCATAAATATATTTGAATGCACAGAGAAGTTGAAAAGGTTACACCAGAAAAAAAAAAAAAGGTTTGAAAGCTTTTGATTAAGAAAATTAAGATCCCAGCTGAAGCACAGTTCCACAAAGATTATTTGTAGCTCCATTTACCGTGATATGGACAGAGACTCTTTTGTTTCTTACTACCTCACCAAAAGATGTTTGCAAGAACAGCAGCAAATCTATTGACTCGAAACCACCTTACTGTTGCTTATATTCAAACTCAGTGTGGTTTCACAGTACAAGGCGTGCTAGATGTGAATGTGATACACACAGATAGTGTATTCACTCAGCTGTTTTCAAGCACATAAATTCTCTGCGGGATGACACCACATGCAGGGAAAAACAGGTGGAACGTGTATCAAACAAGGGGATATAGCAATAGTTTAATTCTGCCCTCTCCCGATGCAAAGGTGAATCTCTTTGGATAACAGAGATTTTGCAAAAGGGTTTGTTACAAGGCCTATGGGAGGTGATTTCTGTCCTTGCTTTTCCAGTCATTTGTCCAGTGTCCCGACTAGCTATTGATGTTAAACAATGGATGGAGTATTTGTTCCATCAGCATAACAGCGGTTTTCTTCCACACTTCTGTCTGCTGTGGTGGGAGACTCCATCCTTGCATGAGTGACTTGGGAAGGACAAAAATAGTGCTGACCTCCCTTCAAGAGGATTTCTCCTGAGCAAGTCTAGTCAGTTGGATATGTGTACTTTGGTGACCATACTGGTAAATTGAAACTGTTCAGTCAGATGTCTGGCTGCAGATCTCATAGAAATGTGCAATATGATGACATAATCTGCACTTTTCCAAAACCTATTTGAAAGTTTGTCGGTTTGGGGTAAGTTAAACTACTGCAACTTAGACATTAGAGACCTAGTCCTTTTACCCTCGACTGCATAAGAGATCTGTCATTGTCTTCGGTGAGTGCAGAATGCAGGCTTTTAACTAGGAGGAGCCATCATTGTCATGTTTCATGGGGGTGCCAGTTGGCTGTATTTTCCTGGCCCTCACAGTTACCACGTGGTGACAAAGGTGACGAGGATGTGTGAATCTTCCGTGAGTGATCACAAATTCTCTTCGGTTGTGAAAGTTTCAGAAAAACCCATCTGAAAAATTCCCTTTTGCTCTGCTTTTAGCCACAGAGAGAAGGAGTATGAATAATTGCCAAGACTAGAATAAGTGTGTATTGACCTGTAGTTACCATCATGATATTAAATGGAAATGAAAACTTTCAAAGAGAATCCTGTTATAAGCGGCCAGTGTGAACAGATAATTTTTTTATTATTATTATTGCAACACTGGATAGTATAGCCTTCATACATGTGGAATGAATCTCTGTTAGTGCTGCTCAGGCTCATGAGATGGTGGTAGCCTTGTCAACAGCCCATTTGAGTAGACTGCATACATGGTATTAGTTGCAGCACCACCACAGTCGATAGCCAAAAATATTAGCACTCACATCTGATGTTGGAAGCTCCTGACTGCTAGAAGTCCTCTGTGCAGAAATTTCAGTCGGGCAGATTGGAGAAGGCTGCTGAGAAGAATTCTGGGTTGTTTAAAAAGAAAAACGAAAAGAGGAAGGGCATTTGCAGAAACGTGGGTGAACTTTATTTTCATGTGTTTTCTTAATTGAAAGAAATAATGCAGCTGGCTCTGTTATCATCAACACATGAAGGAAAAGTTGCATTTATCTGCCTTGCTTTTTTTTCTGGTTTTTTTCATCAGTTTGAAATATTTTGTTAGTTGTGATGGGGGCCTTTTGTGCTCTGCTGTAGACTGAAACTCTCTTTGCAACAGTTCAGGCAGGGCTGCCCAGGCCTAAAATAAATAGGTGTAATGACGTAAATGATATTGTATTACTGCTATACAAGGTCGCTTACAAAATATCTCATGAAATCCACGGTCTGTGAGCTAAATCCAGGAAAGAGGGCAAATTGACCCAATGATATTCTGCTATCAGGTCTGGAACACCCTCTAGATTTTAATGCACTAGTTCTTCTAGTTAATATTAAGAAATGTCTTAACAGTCTTATATGGCAATCCACCATTTTTTATCCCTCTGATCATCTTGCTCATTAGTTGCTTTTTTTTTTTTTTTTCTGCCTGTGAAGCATGCAGTTGTCAGAGTCACCATTAAAACTGAGTTGAGCTTAGCTAATGATTTTGCACACTGTTTAAAATATCTCTCAATTTGTAATGAGCTGCTGGGATCTTAAGTGTTACTAAATACCATAGAAAGTGTAGACTTCTACATTAAGGTGCTTAAATAGTAAGATACCCTTTTTTAAGTATTATGTCTGTGTGATTCTATGGGATATGACAGTAAAAAAAAAAAATAAAAATTGCTGCTTAACTTTTTCATGCATAGACCTTTTATCATTCTTTGATTCCAGCAAATCTGTAAAGCTATAAAACAAGACTTACTGCAGTTATCAGCTCAATAGAGAATAAATTAAAGCAGATAAGTAAAGTGAGGTTATGGGGCAGGGGAAGAATATCCTGGAGGGAAGTGACCGTTTGCAGGAAGACCTAGATTTGTTCTACTGACTTCGATACCTAATGCTGCTAGTTTCAAAACTAATTTCAGCTCCTGTATCTATTTTTATCTGTGTTTCAGCTCTATTTAAAAGGAAAGAGTAAGAGACTATTGGCTGAATCAGAAGCTCCCCTGTAGAAAGAGAGAAGAGCCTTGCATATTAGTGCTAACATGAGCACAAGTTAGATAGAAAACTTT